TTTGGGGGGGGGGTTCCCCCAAGCCCCAAAAAAAAAAAAAAAAGAAGGTTTTAGGGAGGGCCCAAAAAAAAAAAAAAAAAGAAGAAGCAGAATTTGATCTCCGTCAAATTTGTCAACTACACGGAGCATAACAATTTAGCAATTTGTGTCGCAGGCTTGCATGAGGCCAGAAGTTTGCATACAAATAGTGCATTCCAGATTTATCCCTTCAAATTGTCATTTTTTTTGGAAACACGAATCACAGATTTGCACATAATTGAGACGTAAAAGGAAAATAAAACCTTTTTTCTTTATTTTTTTTTTGGTTTTATTTACAAACACAAATATGACAACTGCTGTGCTTAGTCACAGCACTTTCCCCCATCAGTACTTTCAGGTTGTCTAAAGTATTTTTCCAGAGTCATTTCTGCACTCACTCCAACTAAATAAATTTGTCTAGAGCCGCAGATGTTAAATAAAATTAAACACAAAGACAACTTTCATCTTTGGTAGACATTTACAATAGGAAATTTGTTGTGGATAAATGTTCTGCTGATATAACTATGTTAAAAAAAGTATTATTTTACATTATATTTAGTCTTCATAATTGCACTTTCTGAACCACTTGAAAGAAGGCCTGACCGGATAGTCGGCCTGTTGTTTCATCAGTTTTATTTATTTATTCACATTGGCTGATTGAACAAATTAAAGTTGTTTTTGACAAAGCTTGTGGAGCTATTGGTGTTTTTAACTGAGTAATCAAATAAATTTGTGTTTCAGTTCATTTATGTCTGTGTTTAAAAAAAATATGTTTTAAGTTTTCTTTTAAACTTAAAACGTTTTTAGAAACGTTTTAAGTAAAAAAAAACTTAAAACATTTTTTTAAACACAGACATAAATGTACAGACATAAACATTTTAAGTTTTAAAAACTTAAAATGTTTTAAAAACATTTAAGTCTTTAAACTTAAAACGATTTAAAAAAATGTTTTAAGTTAAAACGTTTAAAAACTTAAACGTAAAACTTTTAAGTTTTAAACGTTTAAAGTTTAAAACTTTAAACTTTAAAGTTGAAGTCCATTTGTTTGAAGGGAAAAATTAACTTTTTTTTTCAGAAAAGACTGAAATGAACGGATTATAATAATATATTTATCCTCAGAATCAATAATCAACAATTAGTAATCACACTAATATAATGGTGAATTAACTAACATAAATAAGTGTAAAATCTAACGGTGGCTCTAAGAGCTGGAGAATGAAGTTGGGTGAAACGATCACAGTTTTCTGGTCACCGATATTTCAAAGCTCTCATCTGCCGATTCCGATTTTGGCCAATGCTATTTATTTATTTTTTTTAAATTTATTTATTTTCATAACTGACACTGTCAGGTCACAGTTCAACTTCATTGTTCCTGTCTTATTTTACTGAAAACACTGAACAACACCAACTTTTTCACTGAACACAATGCTTCAAAATATAACCAGCAGAGTAAGAATGGGGACAGTGGCTGATTTTCAGACCTTTGTGAGATAAGATCACTTTCACATGTATGTGTCATCTCCTCTTTCTTCGTTTATTATTATCTGACTCACCTACAACCATTTTTTCCACAACCATTGATTTGCGATGATTACTCAGTTACATTTAGTTGAGTAACATTTTGGAAGAAAAGCACTTTTAGGAGTAGTGTTACTGCTCTGTTTTTTTATTTGCTTTTACTTGAGTAATATTATTATGAGGCATCACAACTCTAGCTTGAGTAAAATGTCCGGGTCACAGTTTGTGTTGAAGTGAGACTTCCTGTTTGTTCTCAAGCTTCATTTTTTCAACAGTAGATATTTTCACTGGAAGTGCTTTATCCTTTTCTAACATGTGTATACATTACCTACTGTAAGGATTTATATGTTCTTGTTTTTTTTTGTAGGAAAAAAAGTGATTTGGAGAAGTGTTTCATCTGTTTGAATTTGTTGTTTTGTAATTTGGTTACATTTCTTTTTTTTCTTCTTTTTTTCATTTTTACCTTTAAAATACCAGAATTTACACATTACTTTATATTTGTTGTCTGCCTGATTCCATCATTTGTATTGTATTAGATGCTCTGTTCAGTTACTCATGAAGTATTTCACAAAATCCTGTTTTTACTTTTACTTATTTAATTTCTTGGCTGGACTTTTTTTTTTTTTTTACTTTTACTCTAGTAAATAATTTGTTAAAGTAAAGCTGCTCTTTCTTGAGAACATCCTAAGAACATTAGCTTTGACGTGTCTTCATGTGCATTTAATTCAATCCCAGTGGAACTCATTGACGTTTGTTGTTGTAACATGAATAAATGTGCAAAGAATTGTCGACCAATCCCGCTCACGTATTTTCTTCCTGGTTCAAAAACAAACAAAATATTTCTTCTCTTATAAGGAAATTAATGTGAACAAGGAAAGTATTTAATTTCAGCCAGTTATATTGAAATGCACCTCCTGCCACACGGCCTCTGTCCTCCACAGGGCCGCTCCCTTGAGTGGCGTCCAATCTGGTCTAGCTGGCAGTTAGGTGTCAGATTAGATTGATCTCTAATCTTGTCTCGACTCACCCTTCCAGTCGACGCGAAAGTCTTTCTTGCACCTCTTGTGCTTGGATTTCCATGCTCTCACCGAGTCACTACGCCCCTTTATTTGCTCTCAAAAATGACCAACAAAAATTATTCACGCCATAACAAACTGCCTTTACATTTAGATTGAAACACAAACAAGAGTGATATTTTCCGGTCTCAGGTATAGTCTGCAATCAAGTCTTCAAATTGCTGAGATTCCTCCTTCGGATAGCTCTCTGAGACGGTTGCTAATGATAGTTGTTGATTTTTCCAGTCTGACTCTGACTTCCTTTATCACAAGAAGCAAAGCAACATAAAAACAAAAAAGCCAAAAAACTTTTTGAAAATATATTCAGAGGAAAATGTGTAATTTTTTTTTTTTTTTTTTTGCTGATGTGAATGGCGAGTACATAGGAGTGATTGACAGCGCTAAGACCCTCCTCCTGACTCTGATTGGTTGTTTCTGACTGAGGCAGAGGTGCTTGATCTGTTTTTTTTTCAAACATTATCTGTTTTATAGATAATCTATAAGACATGACACAATATTAATTAAATGTCAAGACATTTAATAGATATGCAAATAAATATTTTGGACTAAAAACAAGTTTTCACAAATAATAGTGTAGTAAATGTCTTCTTTTGTAGGTCTCTTCCAGCCAGTCCAGTAAAATATTAGTGTGGGTGCAGGTATTATTTGAGTGTGCTTAAGCTCTCCTAATAATGGCATTAGTGTTATCAGCGGAAGGCCGTTGACAATTCAGACTCCCAATTCCAATTCAGACTTGTTTTTGATTAGAGCTGATGGTAGATAAGAAGTGGAGTCAAGATGGGTTCGGTTAGAGTTAGCAGGAAGTGATGGCATCATGCTCGGGGAGAGAGAGATAAATGTCTTTGCTGTCGCTATATTCATGTTAAGTCAACAACACAAAGAAAGAAATTGTCCATTTGTTCAGGAAGAGTGAATGACTCCAAGCAATGTTCCTTAGAAAACTTTTTAATTTGACTAAAAACTGATCTTGATGGATTCTTTGCTAGCCAGGATCAATGAGAATGTACGTAAAACTGGATTAGGATTATGTTTTTTTTTTGTTTGTTTTTTTGTGAAGTGCCTTCAGATGAGGTGTGATGAATTTATGAACGAATAACCAGAAATGAATCGAAATGAGATATCCTCAGTGGTAGAACATGCTGTAGAACCAGACTGACGGCTTCAAAAACAAAGCAGTCAAACCGTAAAGTGAAGCCTTCCAACTGAACAGGCCGGACGGTTCCGCTTTGAAAAGAACCAACAGACTGCAAAGTAATGACCTTTTATTTCAAAACTGTGACATTTGTTTTGCTACCTTTTCAACAAACCTTTGTGACAAGAACAAACTGATGTTGCTCTGAAACGAACACTCTCCCAAAAGAAGTACATATCTGAGGAACAGTTTCCTCAAATGCTTCCTTGAAAGTTTGAGCTTGACTAATGCTTCCTGTGCAGTATAATTTAATACACTGAAAAACAATTGTAGGAATTGATTAAAAAATTGCTTAATTTAATTTTTTTTAAATCCCTATACTTTCAGCATTTCTTACATTTGCTGTTAAAAAAAATTGGGTGCCATTTATATATTGATTAACCAGAAAGGCAGAAGTACAGTGATGTATGTTTGAAGTGTTCTGCAAATAAAAATCTGAGAAGTGTTGTGGGAATTTATATTAATTATTAATCATTAATCAATGCAAATTAATATTCAATCCAAATGTAGCTGTTCTGTGAAGGTTTATTTTACTGTGTAAAATATGTTGGCAGCAGCATCATGATGTGGAAAAACCCTCCTTGGTTTTTTTTCTCTTTTTTTTTTAAGCATGGGCACGACCCTGGACATACGTGGAGGGATTTCATTCAAAGCACATCAGTCTATAGGGAAGGCCCAGTCAAAGCCCAAACATAAATCCAACTGCGAAGCTGTGCTGAGAGTTGATGCTGTTTTTGTTCAAAACATTTGGAATACAGTGCAATAGTTCATCTCAAGCATTACTTTGTGTTGATCTTTCACATTAAGATTTCAAGATTTATTTTTCTAGTTTGATCATATCTGAACCAAACACCTTCTTCCAAGAATGTGGTGTGCTTACTTTTCTAAATTTTATTTATAAAAATGAATGGCATGTATATGTTTTTTTCCTGCTTTCTGTAAATATATCTTGTGAAATAGTAATAAAACATATCTAGCAAATTTAATTTGCAAAGTTGGCAAGAATATATGCTTTTTATCGTTTACAAATGATCAGGTGTGTTTCCATTAAATCTGTATTGAAATGCTGTTGGAAGTGGTGATGTTCCTAAAAAGAAGAGGGGCCCCGAATCAAATTCTGCCTCGGGCCCCATACAACCTTAGGCCAGCCCTGCTTACTCATCCATAAATCATATAAAAGCCTGGCCTTTGTTTCTCGTGGGTGTAGCCCGTATTTAGGGGGGCGTGTGCACGCGGAGGCGGTTACGTGCCGACGTCACCGCTCGTTCGCTCGCTTTCTGTCAAGAGTCAAAATAAAACGACTAAAAAAAACTTTTCTATCGGTACTCTCATGCGAAAACACCCGAAAGCGAGGATATGAGGCGGTGAGAGAAGCCATTGCTCTCCTTGTTCGCAGCGGCTGGTGGGACGCGCGGCGCTTGTCTTCGTGGCGGGGGAAGGCTGTTGTGCTGTTCCTCCGCTCGTCCTGGGGGTCTCGCTGGGAGAGCCAGCGGGGCTGCTTTCAGTTTTAGCCGAGCCGCTAGCTAACGTCAAGTTGAAGGAAAGTGGAGAGAAGACGCCCACAGCAATACCGGTGCTTGAACGGGGGGGTTTGTCCGCCAACTGTGCCCTATGCGACGGCTAGCAGGTAAAGCAGAGCTCATACCTCCTCTTCCACCGCTATGAACCCATGTATTCTGTCTGCATTTTACCTTAGACTTTTCTTTTTGTCCTCCTTTTTATTTGTTGTTGCCAGCTCATACTTAACTCTCCGTGTTCCCACCATGTAACGGGACTGCTTGTTACAACTCGTTCCCCACCTGTCTGGGTATGCATTCAAGAGGGAGGAGGGGAGGGGGGGGAGGAGAAATAACAATAAAAAAATAAAAGCTACATTTCTTGTTGCTGGTACGTTCCTCGCCAAATCTCGCCATTTTCTTGGCTGCCTGCAACGCTTTTGTTGTTCATTTGCATCCAAAGAGCAGGGCGCACTGAATGTCTTCGTGGGTAGATAATCTCATCTTTGCTGCAGATCCCGGATAACGCGAGCCGCTCCGCGGTGGACGGTGTGCAGCTCCCTCCAAATCGTGGAGGTATTGTTATAGGGTCTGTGTGCAAGATGCACCGATCAGCCGTGATGTATCAGTATTCATGTCAGGATCCAGCCTGCTGGAGGAGACCGGTGCGATCAGGCTTCTGCGGGGAGAGAGAGAGGATAAGGAGGAGGTGGGGGGTATTGTGCAAGTCCAAGCCCAGAGGTTTGGTGTAGCAATGCGGTAGACTGGGGGTCGGTTTGGATTTCCAAACGAGCAGAGTCGTGTGGGTAGAAGTGGTGGTGGTGGGAGGGAAATTGAAGCGCTATTATTTATGTTTGGTCGACATGTCAGTGGGGTTGGGGGGGAGGGTGTCACGGTTTGCTGACAGCAGCAGGATGGTCCTGCGGAAGAAGGTCAGGAGTGGATGACAGGGCGGGCTCTCCTGTTCCGGGGTCGCGAGACGCAGTGAGGAGGCTCCGCGGGCCGCCTCCTCTCTTCCCACGGGGCGGGATATGAACCAGCCTGCCAGGTGAAGGATGCTGAATTATTCAGGCGCAAGCTGCATATATGAGCAGCGCAGAAATGTGGGGAATAATAGGCTCACTGGGTGTTGTGGAGCTTTTCTCTGCTTTGCTGCTGAACCTGACCGTTTTTTTTTTAATAATGAGGATTTGCACTGCATAGCCTTTGATTAGTGTGTTTAGTGCTGGTGACTTCAACTAGGAGTGGGCGATATGGACTTAAGAGTTTTATCACGATATTTTGTGGTACTATTGTGATAAGTGACTATAAAAACTATTTACTTTTTTTTAAGCAACTTTAGGTATGGCTGGGACTGGCTGGCACAATAATCATACTAATCATTAATAAAAGCAAACAAATACTGCTTTTGAAAAACAATCCCATTTGTAATATGCTTCTTTAGGACACCAGTCACATAAAGAAATGTGATTTATGTCACTAAAATGCACAGAGTAACTGCATCCAATCATATTTTCAAATGTATTGATATTTATTGATCAAACAGTGGAGAAAATGGCAGAACTAACTGACACCATTAATTGGAATTTATCGTGACAATAATTCTTATCATGATGAGACATTTATCACGATAAATAATCTGATAAATGTTCATTCCTACATTTAAGTAAAAAATGGTCACCTAAAACTGCATAGAACAAGATTGAAACTTCTGATTTTTGGAGTGTAACTTACACCAGACATATTTTAAAATTGTATCCTTGTCAAGTAAGGACAGTTTGAGAGTTTTGGTATCTTATTTGTTTTTTGTTTTTTTTACAATAAATAAACAAACAAACCCAAAGACTATCACCTTTAGTGCATTGTTTCACCAAAACTACTCTTAAGAACCACAGGTCTGGTTCAAGTTGAATTTAAAGTTGTCCAGAAGAAAAGTCTGTCAGAATCAAATAAACCAAATCAAACAGTAAATAAACCTTAATATGCATTAATGCGCACAGTGCTAACTGTCTTAGCATTACCACAGCAGCTAACATCTACAGTCTTCTTTATTTCCGGTCTTGGTGTGCAATCAGCGCCAAGAAAAATAAATGGAGCTCTTGGATTGGCTACTTTGCAAACGCCACAAAAGTCTGGTGTAATATTTGCTCACACAGCAAACATGTTGGAAAAAGGCGCTACAGTCAGATGAGACCTAACAGAACTTTTTGGCCAGTGCGCACTACTTTGTGTTGGGTTGTGACATAAAATCCCAGTAAAATATAAGGATGTCTTTGGCTTTCTGAACACTTTTCCAAATCACTGTAGGTGTGTGTACATTACATACCCAAGGTGTCATGTGCAGCTCGGCGGTTAACCCACTTAGATTGCTTTGCAAACAGAATAATTCCACATATCTGTACCGTATCTGATTCTCACTGCTTTCTGCCAACTCTCAGTAACCTTT